TTGAGATCATGAAGATAACGCAGAACCTTCCTGCATTGGTGAATTTGAGATTGATTCCATGCATCAACACTGGCAAAGAGCTGTTGATGTTCATGATTGTCTGTTTTGCGAGCCGTGACTGCTGCCACAACTTGCGTATCCAGTCTGGCGCTTCCCTCGGTCCTTCACCAATGGTGGGTACGAGGGAGTCTGGGTATGTAACCACTGCACATGCAACATATCTGTACAAAATGACATGATCCTAACTACGTGACACCGAATATCCGCGCAGCAAGTAGGTGAGCAATGTCAAGAAAACGTTTGAATTGGCAAGCAATCTGATTGGGTGCCGGGGGAATCGGAACCGTATCAAGATCCATATTGCGAGCTCACGCTTTACAAAGATTACGTCGTCTATAAAGAAAGCACTGCTCATAACTCAATGGCTGGGGTGGAATGGCCTGAAAGATCGGTCCTACATAGGACATGGGAACTAGGCCATCCGGGTGATACGGTGGTTTGCACTGCAGATTAGTGACATATTCTTTCAGGGTTTTCTTCACCGCATCAGAGTTAGGAACCTGAGGACGGAGTGGAAACCCGCCAGTATAGGTTCTTCCCCAGCCAATTTCGGTAAGACTAGCCGAGCCCGTCTTGGAATGCTTTGGGAGCAGAGGCCCACTAGACAAACCCTGTTTGTACAGCGCAATAATACGCAAGGCTTCTGACTGTTCCCTCAGTGATCGCTTCACAGCAGGTAGGGCAAGAACTTTGGGATCTTGCCAATGATGGGGGCGGGCCCTTTGTCCCTCTTTAAGGCGTATCCAAGTAGGGAGCTGGAGACCCGTATTTACAATAAAGGCAATAGTCAACTCGTACCATCTAATACCTTCCTTAGCCACTGAATGTTCAACAGGTTGGTCAGGATCAGGCCACTTCAAGGAAGCCAAAAACTTCATGACTATAATTCTGCGTATTGGTTTCCCCAAAGGCAAGCGACAACAAATTTGGGATGTATATATCAGGCTGAAATTGAACACGTGGTTCAGAAACAATGTGTATAGTTATCACGAACACGGTAAATCGTTCCCCAATCTTGTGAAGAATCATGAGCACGTTGGTCTTCCTGTTTTTTGGACTGCTGCTTTAATTGGTTAACCTACCGACATCACTTGCGCTCGAGTCTGACGCTTCCCACAGACCTTCACCTTGTGGTGGGTTCTGGCGAGTACTGGTATGTAAACAAAGATGGAAACATGCGAAGTAATTACTCTGTACAAGTTCACGACAAACCCTGTGAAACCGAATATCCGCGCAATGCCAAGCTGGATAGAACAAGTCACAACAAGAAGGTTAGTCGGCCTAATTAGGTGCAGGGGGTATCGGCACAGCATCAAGATCACCATTTTTTGTCAACATGTTGTTGCGAAGATTACGTCGGTACAAAAAGCACTGCTCACACGTGAGAGGAATCGCGTCAACGACGAGAAAAATGGGATGTACAAACTGCATAGGAACTAGGCTATCAGGGTGGAATGGCGGCTTACAATGAAGATCAGAGACATACCGATTAATGGCATTTTGGACTGAAATTGGGTTGGGTTAACCTACCAGCCAGGTCAAGCTACATGGGGGACCCGGGCTCCAGGTTTTGACAATCTTGACCCATCCCCAACAATCTTCACTGACTGAATGCCATGAATGCAATGAATCGCGGGCGAGAACCGTGGTTCCGTGGTGTGGGAACTTATATTTTTTCTTCCCTTTGTGGTGCCAGTGGATCCCCGCCATTGCGAAGGTTGACTCATTCGATTCTGAAATTACCCCCCAGGCCCCAGACACTCTTTTTTGCAATATATGCCATATACCTACATTGACCCCCCAAACTACCCAACTGATCGGCAACGATGTCAGTCCCATTGAGTGTCTGGGACCTAGATGGTGTAGCCTTTCTGGGCGAGATCAGGGTGACCTGGTTTTAGCTCCGAACTGGTGGGGAAGGTGGGAATTGGATTAAGACTGATCAAGACTCTGGTTTAACTATGATGGTTAACATAAGTGTCGTTGCTCTTTGGGAAGCTCATCGTCCTGGACCTTTCTCGATTTCGACTCCTCCGCCGACTTCTCCGGCTCTCCGGCGTGGTCGAGCCCTTTTCAACGAGGCCAAGCGGTTGATCGGGTGATCGAAACCAAGCTGAATCTTTCCTTCACTGCTTCACCATATTTTACTGCTTCTTGTGATTGAGTTGAGTTGGGTTGGGTTGGTTGGTGTGTGGTTTGTTGCATGCAACCACAGATAGCTTCAGAAGAATTATGTTTGAGTTGGGCACAGCAATACCGCGGGCCCCGGCCAAGTCCTGCATATATTTCTATGTCTACCAAAATCATACAGATTCCTGTCCCCAGCCATGATGTACTTGAATTAAAGACTAGGCCAGCAGACGTACTATCCACACACTCCCCCATTCCGACAGTTCAATTTCTTCTTTGTACAACGGGTGTTTGTGTTTTGGCAGTTCTCGGCGCAGGCAGCAATGGCTTGTACTCCCGCAGCATCTTCCACATGCACCAAGGCCGCTTGTAGAAGACTGTGTGAGTAGATAAAGGATGATAAAGATAAAGCGGATAAAGGCTATCCTGCCAGAATCTCGAACTGAGAAGTGGAAACAGTTTGGATGTTGTGATGTTCGGGGGAAGATCATGGGAATACTACTGGCCTGGAGTACATCGTGATATCCTCCAGTCATCAGATTGCCCCAGTCAGTGGTCTCTTCTCCGTCCCTGTTCGCCATCCACGTTCCTCGTATACGGATCTCTCAACCGTCGGCTCGACCGTGCCGAAGCGTGGTCACCGTGTCGAGTGCTGCGGGCCTTGACATCGGTGAAAGGGGGTCCAAAGATATCCGTCCCTTCCACCATTCAAAAAGGAACATAAAAAAACACGAGGGTCCTCGCCTTGTTTTGATAGGGGGTCCCGGCAAAGTGGGTGGTAAAACAGGGTCAGTTGGACGATTCTTGTTTTGAATAACCAATATTGAATAGATCTAAATAGGAAGTGCAGATTTCGTGGCAGGCGCCGGCGCAGTACTTTGTGAACCTTGAAATTGAAGTGCAGATTTCGTGGCAGTAGAGTCAGGCGCCAGGCAGACTAGGCAGCTAGAGAGACAAGGCAGGGCAGGTTGATATCCTCTAAGATCACCTTTAGTGTAGCCAAGGTGAAGTATGTAATATAAAAAATTATAAAAATATATAAAGCCGCGGCATTTTTGTAGGATTGGGGCAAGAGGATAATATCAACCTGCCGAGCCAGACAGACAGCCAGACAGCCCGCTACACAGTTGAAACGAGAGAGGCGCAGGCAGCCAGTGGAGGGACAACCTGGGTCAGAAACCAGGGTCAGCAACAGCAACATGGTCGATTTTGGAACCTAACTCACTAAAATCGACCATGTTGGTAGTTTAGTTTGGTAGCATCTTTCGTCGACTCAATCCCAAGCACCTATATTTAAAAACGCTGCCCAAACAAATAATCCTCATGTCGGAGACCCTAAGCACGGCTTAAAATTATGTGTGTTTAAATTACGGCCCTTTATCTTAAATCAAAAAGAGTGGTGCTTTGTGCATTCTGGTGCTACCAAATGGATAGGTCATGCATAAAATTTGTCATGTGGCGCTGTATATCTTTTCTGCCGATGAAGTCTCACTCTTGAAGTCCCATTCAAGAAACCATTGCAGCTTTCATCGACGACCGGTGCCAGGCACGGCCCTCGAAGTGGGTCGATGGGAATGCATGCAACGCGCTGTGTCCCTTGGACATCGTGTCACGTTGGACGTGGGGATTGGGTCCATCGTCCAGCCAGGGGTTCTGGTGGTGAAGAGGTCGGCTATGATAGCGATGTGAAGACGCCACAAATCTCCAAATTGGCTACCCAAGGCCCAAGGTGTTTTTTTCCTTTTGGATTGTTACCTTGTGGTGACTTCCCACCTGCCAAAGTAGCAATGTTTAAGCTAATAAGACTGACGGTGACTCGGTCGCAAAGCAGGTCAGTCAAAACATCCCAGCGCAACATGAAAAAAAAACAACAGCAAGTCTGAAGTCACTGACTGTGGTTGGCGCTGTGTAATTACTGTTTGGATTGTGTTTATTGTGTGAAGCTTCTGGCTTCATTCTGCAAATCTGTAAGTACATGTAAATACTGTTTCGCTTGACAACAGTAAGAAAAACATTATTTGTTCAGTTGCAGTGGTCACCAGTCACTGGGAACTGTTGTATGATACAGATTCCTAGAAAGAAAGTGGCTGACCCAGACCACAAACTGCCATACCATTGACAGAAGGATGATGTGTAAGGGGGCTGTCCTGAACAAGGCAGTATTGGAATGCAGCATGTACTTGTTTCGAAGGGATACATGAAAGAGGACAACATATGGATGATATTGATGCGATGGAACAACAATTAAACAAGAAAACCACAGGCTGTCCAACAAAGAAGATTTGCTACAAGTATTTGTTAGGTGTTAAAGTTTGCTTCACTTCATTTCACATTGCTGGAACTGTGATGCAAAAAATCCACTCCAAATGAAACTGCATGATCATTTTTATATATATCAGGGACCCGCTGGAAGCCCGTAGACACGGTAGATCTCTTCCTGTCCAAGGCCAGTTGATCCTAGATGACAGGCAGGTGGCACGATGCTCTTAAGAAGTGGGGCAAGTGGAGTGGGGTATGCGACACACATCACAGGAATTCTCCATAATTCCGGCACCGGTACCCCTCCCTCAATTAACAGTGTCCATCGTTGGTCCATCCATGGGCTGTTGTTTGATGTTGGCCACTTATTTGTTGTTTATGTTACTTTATTATTAATACGATAACATCCACCTACCATCCAATGCCTCAAGGATATGCTTACTATATACTATATATTATGTTGTTGGCGCGTCTCCAACCCATTTCTATTTAGTGTTCGACTAATACATAGAAGATGTTTCGCTGCTTTGCAAGTTTGCTCCAGGCATCCAATGATCATTGCTGGGGTGCAACGAACGCCACCACGGAAGCAACCGTTCTTTGGCACACCGGGGTGAGGTTCTTGTCTGCCCCCAGCGATTATCATTTACCCCGTTCAAAACTGGCTCAAATTCTACAGGTAGTAGTTTCTGATGATTTCTTTGGAGGTGTCAAGTTTTCTTTTGCAATTCCTCACGGCGATTTTTGTGCGATGGATTTGTCGATCTTTCTGGATGATCTGCTCGTCGCCAGGCGAATTGGCAGCACCTGCGACGCCGGCGCAGGCCTTCGGCGGCGGAAGCCACTGCCGCCCTTCCTCTACAGGGAGGCGTCCGGGGCGAGGTTGGAGGAAGGGATGTGGATGTCCATGGAAACACGGAGGGAATCTGTTGGACGTGTGAAGCACCTTGAGGAGGTTGGGTTACATGCTACAGGTAAACATTTAAGCATGTTTAACCCGTATCAATTCTGCAAAGTTTGTCAAAGTGACATAGAAGAAGCTGATCCGAATGGTAGAGTTGTTGTTTCACAAATTGGTAAAACAATTTCTCCAGTGAGAGCACACATGCTCGGTTTGACTTTGAAATTGGAACGCTTAAAAAATGGTGTCCACGTTGCAAAGTTTCGGTGCTGTACTAGTTACGCTCACCTTTGGAGAGCAATATGATCTCAACAAATAACTGATACAAACATATAGGACATTATTAAATTGTGAATTGTAATTTGGTTTGATTTACGTATGATAAATGGTACGCCTGGTACACATTGTGGTGCACTGTAGTTATCGACCATTTTCAGCCACCACTACCACCACGATTCCTTTGGTCAGACATCCTTGTTTTGGCTATGTTTTGAAGTCAGACATCCTATTGCTTCCATTTATTTCCTGCTGTTTGTGAATGTTTGATCGTTAGACACTGAGGTTTTCTGAACCTGAAACATGTTTTGTTTTCTTGTAGTGACTTAGAAGGGCACATAGCCAAAAGGAGTGTTGGCAAAGCCGCACTTGTATAGCATGTTGTGGTGAGTCAGTTTGCCGTTTTATTAGTCTAAGTTTATTCAGTAAACTGAATGATTCTGGATGGTGTAAATTGAGCCAACATCTTGGTGCAGAAATAAAAGCTTGAGTGAACACATGCAGTGTTGTCAACACCTATTTTCAAGAAGGACTTCAGAAGGATTCTGGACGCAAAGTAGCAGGACCAGCTCTTCGGCTAGAGGTATGACAAAGGAATCATAACAACCATGGGAATATATGTACCAGCTCCATGCCAAACCATTTCCTGCAGCTTCACACAGGCTTTCAAGTATGGAAAACATGCGGGCACCATACCCCTGGCTTCTCGAAAGGCAACAGCTATTTACTTTGCAACACATCTACGAATTGCACATTTCCGAAAGCTAATGGTCCACAGTTCTTAGATGGCCTTTGCGTTTTTTTGGGTTTCGTCGCCCCAAAATACAGCTCCAGCGGGACCAGTCGAGCAATTGCTCAAGAAAAGAAACTAAAGGACTTTTGGAAGTAAGCCCTTCTGCTGAATTGTTTGTAAAAGGAAACATTAGAAACAACAGCAGTTGACATGAAAAGAAAGACCTTTTGTCAATGTTTAAGAAAACAAAAGGACACGAAATGTAATTGCTGTTGTTGAATTCCGTGAGCAGGACATCAAAAGGAAAACAAAATCCGGAAGTCATTTTGCAAAGGGAAGATGAGCTATATGGTTCCGAACAGTTTGTAAAGTTCATTGGGGTTAAAAGTTGAGGGCAAAGACTGTGTTGGATGATGTTGGATGAGGATCAACTTGCTTTCACATTCCTTCAAAAGCGTGTTGTTTTTCACTCAAAAGCTAGCCTGCGTACCTGGTGTTCTGCTTTCCGGCTAGGCCATTGGCCCATTCCTGCGCTTTGAGAGCCTCCTACCGAACATGCCCGGAACCTCAATTCCCGTCATCATTGGCTGCGTAGAAGGACCGAAAGCCATACTTCACATGAGTGTACTGACGATGAGCCAGAGGCAAAAAAAGACAAGATATAAACCATGATAGATAGAAAGTTGCACATCCAGGGTGCAATTTGCATGCAACGCATTTGAGTTGTGTCTTTTTTAACATGTGCACTGAGCAGAACGTGTTTGTGGTTGTTGAAGCTAGCTCCCCGTCGGAGACCCCACAGACTGCTGGAAGTCAAGAATGGCGGAGGTGACATCACTCTTAAGTCACTGGAGTCATCCCTTGGCTATGCGGTTGACCTACCTAGAACCATTGTGTATGCCTAGTTAACCTGAAAATAGTTGAGAATTGGTGCGATGGGATGACCCATCAATGCGGCAGCGTGTTTTACGCGCAAGTACTGTATTGTTTGTGAGAATCAAAAGAAGAAGGGCCGTGTAAACTATTTGGTTGGATGGACATGGCTGTATAATGGGCAACAAACCTGACAAATTTGTCCACCCAGGAAGAGGAACTAAAGAATGGACTCAAACATACCTCGAGCATCCAGGAGCATTTTGTCAGGGTGTCAGGGCATTTCCTACCCCCACTATTCCTCCGGGATTTCAGAGTAAAACCCTTTGGAACGGTAGGACATTGACTTCAATGTCCATTAAAAACAAGGAGTTTAAATGCTTTTCACGTACCAAACATCCATGAAGCTGAGACGCATGGCTGCCGCCGTGGACCCCTTGCGGTTTTGGTCGGAGGTGCCCCGGGGCCCCTCGCCGTCCTCGCACCGAGGCTTTATGCTTTTGGTGGGCGGAATCAAGAGGAGGGACCCCTTGACACGGCTCGGACCGCCTGGTGGGATGCTATGCTCGGGCCCGCGCGGAGATCAGATGCTGTAGACATAGAGAATAGCCGTAGAGACGTATAGCTCTGCAGATGCGAAATTGGAAGCTGTATACTTACAAGACATGTTATACAGGGTAGTTGCTTCTTGGTTTTCCTGTAGCGTCTTCCTGCGATCCATGAGCTTATTATGATATTTACAATATATTTCATGTGCGATGATCTACCCTTGGCTGTGGTTAGACACTGCCTACTTCGGGCCAAAGCTGCAACAACCATTGGTTGGAATGTTGGGTTTGCTCTTCCATGTTTCATGTTGAAATACCATTGGCTGAACAATTGAAACCGATGGCAGATTCCGGACACGGAGCTCTGAAATTGTTTTTTTTGGGGGTTTGTGCCAGTGCTATTTATGACCGGTTGGAGATTGATTTGTGAATGCACACTGGAAGAGACGGAGTGCAAGACATTTTGGGCAAGTACTGCATATGTGTGTGTATTCATGATTTCTCCGGATAGTATCCAAGTCTCTTGACATTACAGATGTTAGGAAGGCAACGTTTGCTGAAACATTTGCACTCAACGTTTGCTGAAACACGTTTTCCAAATCTAAATGGGCACCGTGTGGCTAAAAATAAGGCCCCGCCCCAACTTGTTCACAGGAGCAAAGAAGCGGACAAATAACATCAGGCCGTCATGAAATCCCCAGCTCCATTCTCAACGCAGTTTGTTCTGAACGCTGTTTGGGGTTTAATGGAAACAGATCGCAAGGTCATCAGGTCATCAATTTGATTGCAGACTGGTCGTGCCTGTGCACAGATCCTTCTGCAGTAGCGAGAGTGTTTGTTCTCCCCACAACTCCACAAAGCCACAAGAACAATTTAATCCATTTGTGACCAATACCCAGAGCCGAGTGGATAACAAATTGAGTTTTCATGTCGGGGCAAACCAGGATTACTGTAGACGGAGTACGGGTTGTAGTAAAGGCAGTACAGAGAACCCTCTCCCGAACATCTGCGACCACGATTTTCTGTTGGTTATCTCCGCAGCCCCCGAGCCACGATGCGATTTGTGTGTTTTGGGAGCGAGCAACAATCTACCACGCAGACAGTCCAAATATATTAGGACAACTTTGATCATTCAATTAAGAAAAACGAAGAAAGCAGAGCTTAGAGCTGAACATTGAGAGATATTGAGAGAACTTGGACGATTTGCTTCCAAGGAAAACCTATCTCCCCTTATTCTCCCAATCAGAAGATCACCATTTGGGTTTGGTACTAATTAGGTCAAACTAGACAACATTTACATATAACCTCTCATGTTCACACATATTCAAAGGAAGTTTAGTGTGCAAAACTTCCGTGTTACGGACATTCAACAGCTGTTCAATACACCACTCATCATACGCCACTGGACATTCAACAGCTGTTCAATACACCACTCATCATACACCACTCATCATACACCACTCATCATCCAGGTAGCTCTTCAAGAGCTCTAGCTCCAGTTAGCTCTAGTTTCAAGAGCTCTAGCTCCAGTTAGCTGTAGTTTCAAGAGCTCTAGCTCCAGGTAGCTCTAGTTTCAATAGCTCTAGCTCCAGGTAGCTCTAGTTTCAATAGCTTTAGCTCCAGTTAGCTCTAGTTTCAAACCTCCATGTGCAGAATTCGTGGCAGGTGCAGCACTTTGTGAAGCTCGAGGTGCAGATTTCGTGGAAGGCACAGCACTTTGTGAACCTCCATGTGCAGATTTCGTGGCAGGTGCAGCCCTTTGTGAACCTCTATGCGCAGATTTCGTGGCAGGCACAGCACTTTGTGGGCCTCGATGCGCAGATTGCGTGGCAGGCGCAGTACTTTGTGAACCTCAATGTACTTTGTGAACCTCCATGCTTCTCCAAACCTCGACGGGGAAGCTCCGCGGAACGGTTCCGTCCCTAGTTTTCACTTGTTTCTTGAAGTGCAGATCTCATGGCAGGCACAGCACTTTGCATTCCTCCATGTGCAGATTTCGGGGCAGGCGCAGCACTTTGTGAACCTCCGTGGGCAGACTTCGTGGCAGGCACAGCACTTTGTAAACCTCCATGCGCAGATTTCGTGGCAGGTGCAGCACTTTGTGAACCTCCATGTGCAGATTTCGTGGCAGACACAGCACTTTGTGAACCTCCATGTGCAGATTTCGTGGCATGCACAGCACTTTGTGAACCTCGAGGTGCAGATTTCGTTGCAGGCACAGCACTTTGTGAACCTCCATGTGCAGATTTCGTGGCAGG